GGTTGCATATTATATTATAAAGATGATGCAGCTTTAGACAGTTGTAAATTTTGCGAAAAGGCTCGTTTCAAGAGGCTTTCCAGCGGGAATATGGTCGCTATCAAGTCGATGCATTATTTACCTCTTATACCTAGGTTAAAGAGGTTATATGCGTCGATGAGTTCTGCTCCTCATATGAGATGGCACTTTGAAAATAGAAGACCACCTGGTGTTATGTGTCATCCTTCAGATGGAGAAGCTTGGAAGCAGTTTGATAGGACATATCCAAATTTTGCTAGTGAACCAAGGAACATTCGGTTAGGTCTGTGTGCGGATGGCTTCATGCCTTTTTCTGTATCTGCGACACCATATTCATGTTGGCCTGTCTTTCACCTTATAATCTACCACCCGAGTTGTGCATGACTAGTCCATATATATTCTTAAATTGTATTATCACCGGTCCACGTAATCCGAAAAGTTTGATTGTTGTATATTTGCAACCTTTGATTGATGAGCTAAAACAATTGTGGTACGATGGTGTTGAAACATATGACATATCAACCAAGCATAATTTCAATTTGCGTGCTAATTTAATATGGACAATTAACGATTTTCCTGCATATGGAATGTTGTCTGGGTGGATGACTGCTAGGAAGCTAGCTTGTCCTTACTGCATGAAAAATAGTAAAGCGTTCACTTTAAAATATGGCCGAAAGCAATCATGGTTTGATTGTCATCGTCAATTCTTGCCTCCTAATCATGAGTTTAGAAGGATGAAAAATGCATTCAAAAAGAATAAAATGGAATATAATTCTCCACCTCCGATACTTTCAGGTGAGGAAATTTGGGAGAGGGTCCATAACTTCAGTAAAGTTACTGAAGCTCCACCTTATAGATTCCCCGGATACGGTGTTACTCATAATTGGACGAAACAAAGTATATTTTGGGAGTTACCTTATTGGAAGGATAATCTTCTCCGTCACAACCTTGATGTCATGCATATTGAGAAGAATTATTTTGACAATTTGTTCAACACAGTGATAGATGTTAAAGGTAAGACAAAGGATAACCCGAAGGCTAGAATGGACTTACAAGAATATTGCAGTCGGCCTGAATTATACTTGCAGACAACAAACAATGGTAAGGTGTTCAAGCCCAAAGCAAGTTACACATTCACTTTGGAGGAAAGACGGCAAATTTGTGATTGGCTAACGAAATTGAAGATGCCTGAGGGTTATGCGTCGAATTTTGGGAAAAAAGTTGATATGGAGGTAGGGAAGTTGAGCCATTTGAAAAGTTATGACTGTCATGTTTTCATGGAGACCTTAGTGCCTATTGCAGTTTGTGGTTTGCTTGAACGAATTTTGAAACCCATCACAGAGATTAGTTTGTTTTTCAAAGACTTGTGTTCTTCCACATTAAGGGAAGAAAACCTACTCCGGATGAATCAGAACATTCGTGTAACTTCTACTAAGATGGAAAAGATATTTCCATGTGGTTTTTTTGATGTGATGGAACACCTTCCAATCCACCTTGTACACGAGGCACGACTTGGAGGGCTTGTTCAATGCAGATGGATGTATCCCTTTGAGAGGTAATATTATAAGTTTGATGTAATTTTCTGTTTTATTTGAATGTTCTTGGCTAACCTGAAATTATGTAGGAAAATTGGCAAATGCAAACAATTTGTTAAGCAGAGGAATAGGATTGAAGGATCTATATGCGAAGCTTATCTTGCAAAGGAAACTGCTCATTTTTGTTCTTATTATTTTGAGTGTAATGTGTTATGTGCTAGGAATAGGCCCAATAGGCACACGGTCGAATGTGTGAATGATCCATTATATCCGCCTATGTCCATATTCAATCAACCAGGCCGATGTTCTAAAGATGTTAGAAAGAGAAGTTAAAGTGATATGGAGTTCAAGTCAGCTACACTTCATGTGTTGCTAAATTGTCCCGAAGTTGTACCATTTCTCAAGAATTGATTTAGTAGTTATCAAAATATAAAAGTTACTGTGATTACATCTCAATGCAACTACTAAAAATATTTGATGTGTCACAGTCACTTCGTGGGTCAATTTGGCCATGATGCTGTATATACGAGATTTGATACGTGGTTCAAACAATTTGTAAGTTTATCCTTAAAATAATTTAACACTATGTAGGTAAACAATGTTTTGAAGTTATGCTAACTTATGAATTTTTTTAACAATATGTAGGTAAATGATCCAAATAATGGTGTAAATCAATTTTTGAAAGATATATCTTGGGGACCTGGGCTTGAGGTCACAACAATGTCTAAGTACGTTGTGAATGGTTATAAGTTTCATACAGAGGATTGCTCTAAAAATAAAAATAGCAACAACAATGGGGCGTGGGTTTAAGGTGGTAATGGCAACCAAGTTGGAGATATTGATTATTATGGAGTGCTCAAAGAAATAATATAACTAGAATATACAGGTTGGCCATTTAACAAAAATTGATACTCTTTAGATGCAAGTGGTTTGACTCAAATCCAACAAGAGGTACAAGAGTACACAATCAATACAACATAATTGAGGTTAATCATATGAGGGAGTATGATCGCTATGATCCTTTCATAATTGCACATAATGTTAGGCAAGTGTATTATGCTCCTTATCCATTGCGGCGGAATAAGTCCGATTGGTGGGTTGTAATAAAAACTAAGCCTGTAGGTAGGGTGGAAGTCTAAATCTATTATATTATGTAGATGACAGGCAAGGGTCGAGGTAACAATGACCCTACTGGTTCTCGGGGTCGAGAAAAGGCTAGAAAACCAAAGAGGAGGGTAGAAGATAATACTCAATCTTTTCCACCCTCTTCAGAGATGCCTATGCCTATGCCTATGTCTTTGCCACCACCCCAGGGCTATTCTGAGCTGCCACAACATCATGAGCCCTAGACCTTCGTGCAGACACCAGGTCTTTCGTCACAGGACCATAGGACTATACGTCCGACATACAGTCCACCTGCCTCACGACTACGTGGATCGCAGCCATCTGCATCGCATAGATCACATCGATCCATGTCACATCCACATGGATCACAGCCATCACTGTCACAGCCACTCGGGTCACAGCCACCTCGGATCACAGCTATCAGTGTCACAGCCACTTGCGGTCCGTCCAGCTATGTCGCAGTCACAGGGATCGCAACCATCTTCATCAGGGACTCCATGTATTTCAGGCCTTCGCTTGTGAGATACTAGCTCTGACCCCCCTACACCTTCCACACATGCCTCTGATATACATGCTTCGGACGGTGATGCTGATGATGACGAGGAGGTGCATTATGATCAATATGGCAGGATCATCATAGTCCCTGAGGGTGATGGGTAAGAGTTATTTGTTATTTTTACGTTTATTGTTTTGTACAGTTTTTACTAAGATATTAATGTATTTTTTAATTAAATTGCAGGTTCATCCCGAGTAATATTACTACAAGGATAATCACCAAAGCCACCAGAAAGCTTTATGATGGCCCTTCTGCGACTTGGAGTGAATTTCCATTCTCGCTGAAGGAGCAAATTTTCAATCAATTTAAGGTATAAATGTTCTTTTAAGCAGTATAATTATTTATATTTATGATATTTCCATATAATACTTAACTTTTGAAATACAGAGCAAGTGTGTATGGGAACACCGCTATAGCGCGGAAGTGGCTGCAAATTTTCATCTCAAAGCTCGCAAGCGATTGTCGCATTGTTTCTCCAAATCTAGAAAGTTGAACCAGAAGCCTGACTGGTTGCTTCAGAATTTATGGGAGGATTTGCAAAGGCAATGGCTTACCGCAAAGTTCTTAGAGAAGAGCGAAAAAGGAAAGAAAGCTCGTGCATCTGAGAAGGGAGGATCCTTGCACACTGGAGGTGCGATCAACCTAGGGACAATAAAAAGAAGAATGGTACGTAATTGCTTAATTTATTTTAATTTTGAAAGTATATATATTCTGTTTATTAACTAAAATTTATGAGTTCTCCAGAAAAGAAGTTGGGGCATCCGATAAACCAAGATGAGCTATTCAAGGAGACTCATATTGTAAAGAAGAAGAAAGAGACGGATCAAGAAAGGTGGGTCGAGGGCCGAGCCTCGACTGTACATGTAAGTTTTCACTTTTCATTAAGTATTTTCATTTACTTTTATATAAATTTTGAAATACTAATTCATTGTAATTTTTCTTACAGGGTCGCTTCACAGCTGAACCGGAGGATTTCATTGTAATTTTTCTTATAGGGCAGTAACAAGGCAAGTTGTTACTGCATGATACTGAATATTTCAGAGATGAGAGTGTTGTTTCTTGATTCTTTAACTACACTGATATCAGTATCTGGCTTGTCTTGTTTAGCTATTGATTTCAATGGCAGCCTTTGGCCAGGATACTGAAAGATTCCCATATGTCAAGGAAATACAACAATTTATATACATAAAATTTTGCCTAGTAAGAAGACAAACAAGGAGTTGCTAGAAATCCAAAGTTTGCACATACTACTGCAAAATAGGTATATCCTGATGCTGATTGTTTATCAACTTTTTCATTTCAAAGATCCACATTCTTTTCTGTCTAAGGAAACAATTCTAGTTCATTAGTATCTACTTGCCTTAATTGCATTATTCTTGAAAATGGACAATAAAATCTAGAAAGTCAAGCCTTTTAACAAATGGTTGACTAATCTTCATTAGAATCAACAATACTACTCCTTTCAAGAGGTCTTAATCTTCATTTGATTATAACATACTTCAAAGGCCCAGATTTTATATATATAACATTAATTTCTGATTAATCCATTAGTTATATATGTTATCTTTAGATTATCTATGTGGTCAAAGCTTATTGTGATAGGTGCAAATGAGACTTCATTTATGTAACTAGAGTTCAAAAAGATTTCCTTGTACCTATATATACACTTGTATTGTCATATATGCAACCATGCAATTCTAAGATTTCTCTTCTCTAATACTTCTATTTCAATGGCTGACAAATGCACTTCAAATGTGGCTGTAATCATGGTACCACTTCCAGCACAAGGCCATCTCAACCAATTTCTCCACCTCTCTAGGCTCATCTCCATGTACAATATCCCTGTCCATTATGTTGGAACCAATGCTCACATTCAACAAGCGAAAACTCGTGTTCATGGTTTTGATCCTCTCACACTAACAAACATTCAGTTCCATGAATTTCCAACACCTTCTTATTCAACTCCCTCGCCAAATCCTAACGCTCCTCACAAATTCCCTAGCCAGCTAATCCCTTCATTTTTTGCAGCATCCCATCTCCGCGAGCCAGTTTGCTCTCTAGCACGCGAACTTGCTAGCACGACGAATATTAACAAAGTGGTTGTTATTTATGATAATTTGATGAGTGGGGTTGTTCAAGATTTGCCTGAAATGCCAAATACTGAATGCTACTGTTTCAATCCTATCTCAGCTTTTCATAGGTATTCGTACTTTTGGGAAGTGAAAGGAAAGCCTCTACTCCCTGGAACTGAACATTATGAGGATATCCCATCAGTTAAAGACTGTTTTTCTGCAGACTTTTGGGAATATTTGAAGGCACAAGTTGTTCCCTTTGTTGGTAAGATCAGCTGTGGTGAACTTTTCAATTCATCGCGAGTGATAGAAGGTTTGTACCTTGATCTAATGGCTAAAGAATTCAATAACCCGAAACTATGGGCTATAGGTCCATTCAATCCTGTGGTGCTAACTGAGAAGAACAAAGACTCCAACAAACGCCACCAGTCCCTGGATTGGCTTGACAAACAAGAACATAACTCAGTTATTTTTGTGTCATTTGGAACGACTACTTCATTGTCTAACGAAGAAATCAAAGAGATCGCGATTGGTCTAGAGAAAAGTAAGCAAAAGTTCATTTGGGTTCTTAGAGATGCTGACAAGGGAGATGTTTTTACAAGTGAAGTTAGAAAAATTCAACTGCCTGAAGGATATGAAGAGCGAATAAAAGGAAGAGGAATCATAGTAAGAGATTGGGCGCCTCAATTGGAAATCTTGGCGCATAGTTCGGCCGGTGGTTTTATGAGTCATTGTGGATGGAATTCGTGCATGGAAAGTATTTCCTTTGGAGTTCCTATAGCAGCTTGGCCAATGCATTCTGATCAGCCAAGAAATTCTCAACTTGTAACTAAGTACTTGAAAATTGGACTTACTGTTAGGCCATGGACGCGTAGAGATGAACATGTTACATCAGAAATGGTTGAAAATGCTGTGAAAACTTTGATGGATTCAACAGAGGGAAATGAGATGAGGAAAAGAGCAGCAGATTTGAGTAATGCTGTCAAGAAATCAGTGATGGATGGGGGCATGAACCGTGCTGAGATGGATTCTTTCATCGCTCACATTACTCGTTGAATTTAGATACATTGATATAACAAATATATAAAATAATAAAACTATTCTGCTAAGAATGGTCTAGTATATGAAAATATATCAGTACTCTGTTAAGCTGGCAATGACATGGCTATCTTTGTCGTCTTTATGGTAAAATAGTGCGGCAATTTCTGTTTTAAAGATGACAGACTTTGATGTCCTTGCCCAGGAATTGTTCTTGTTGCTTCATATATTCAACAATCGTACCGTGTCTTACTTAAACTATTTGATTTTATTACTATTATCTACCAAAAAAATTGAAAGAAGAATATGTGTATTGAATTGAATAGCGAAAGTAATGTAGTGACCACTATATGGCCATATACATTAGCCAATGCAGTCTACAACTACAACTACCCAGTAAAATCCCACCAAGTGGGGTCTGGGGAGGGTAATGTGTACGCAGACCTTACCCCTACCCCGATAGGGCAGAGAGGCTGTTTCCGATAGACCCTCGGCTCAGAAAGATGGAAATAAGAAAAACAAGAAAAGACAATTCATTAGTAACTCCAGTAAAAATCGTAATAGTAACAGAAGCATAACAATCAAAAGATGGATGACATGCAATAACAGTAACCAGGCCCGGGGCTCAGATAAACAGCAAGTATAGTGTGTATTCAACATAAACTGCAAGCCATCTAAGGCCAACCCTAATCCAACCCCGCCTCACCCCCGGAAAGAAGTAAGAAAAGTTCTACTACCCCCTAACCTACAACCCTAATACTTGACCTCCAGACCTTTCTATCAAGGGCCATGTCCTCGGAAATCCGCATCCGTACCATGTCCTGCTTGATCACCTCTCCCCAATACTTCTTAGGCCTCCCTCTACCTCTTCTCGTACCCACCACGGCCAACCGCTCACACCTCCTTACCGGCGCATCAAGGCTTCTCCTCTGCACGTGTCCGAACCATCTGAGCCTTGCTTCCCGCATCTTGTCATCCACAGGGGCCACACCCACCTTCTTCCGAATATCTTCATTCCTAATCTTGTCTATCCTAGTGTGCCCGCACATTTACCTCAGCATCCTCATCTCCGCTACCTTCATCCTCTGGATATGTGAGTTCTAGCCAATGCAGTCTGAGTTTTTAAAATTCGCATGAATAACCAAGTTGCAGCTTATATGGCTAAATAAGAGTGCGTTCCTGCTGCCTAGGATAACAAATTGTATTTTAAATATCTTAAAGACTTCACAAGACAATTATTTACAACAGCTCAGTAAACTGTTTGCAAATACCAAAGTAGCCTCAGGGAGTAAGCACAAAGTTGGCCGTAGCAAATACCATTCGAAGATGCTTTTCAACAGTTTCAATAGAGGCTCAATACAATTTAGAGTAAAATTGAAGAAAATAAAAAACAGCCCCTCGGGCAAACATCACAGTCACCCATATACAGCCCCTCGGGCATACCTCACAATCACTCGTAAATAGCCCCTCGGGCATAACATGAATCAAGAACAGCCCCTCGGGCAAAACATCATATTACTCATTCAGGGTACTCGCGCTCACTAGGGTGTGCAGACTCTAGAGGAGCTCCTACAGCCCAAGCGCTATAACAAGCCACCTCGTGGCATAATCAATCAGGTCATCGGCCTCTCATAATCATATATCAGAATCCGCATGGACAACTCACGTGCTGCACGGACAACTCACATGCCATAGTCTCAATATCTCACAATCAGGCACTCGACTTCACTCAAATGAATCAGTAACAACATGTTGCGACGTGCAACCCGATCCCATAAGTATTCTCACAAAAGAACACGCCATCGGCCTCACTCAGTCATAAACCTCTCAAGCCACTCGGGCTATCAGTAAAAACAGGGTGCTCAGCCCAAAATAACATTTTATATGCATCAAAACTGGTAATAAAGACTGAGTTATGAAATTAGTAACATAGCATGACTAAGTATAGATTTTTAAGTCAAAAACAGTGAGACGATAACAAGAAAAGGCCCCTAAGGGTCCAAACAGCATTGGCACGAGGCCCAAATATGGCATTCAACCCAATTTATAGAAATTCTTTCTAAAACACTTAAGTATCATATAGTTTCAGTCAAATACGCAACTTAATAGTTACTACGGGACGGACCAAGTCACAATCCCCAACGGTGCACGCCCACACGCTCGTCACCTAGCATGTGCATCACCTTACAATAGTGAAACGATGTGAAATCCGAGGCTTCATACCCTCAGAACAAGGTTTACAATCATTACTTACCTCAAACCGGTCAAATCCCTACTCTGCGACGCCCTTGCCTCTGGAATCGGCCTCCAAACATCCCGAATCTAACCAAAGCAATAAAATGCAATCAATATAGGCCAAGGAACCAATTCCATACAAAAAACTATCAATTTATACAGAAATTCCAAAATTTACCCAAACCTGCCCCCCGGGCCCACGTATCAGAATCCGACAATAATCACAAAACTAGAAACTCCTTTCACTCACGAGTCTATACATACCAAAAATATCGAAATCCGACATCAAATGGTCCCTCAAATCCCCAAATCAAACTCTCCAATTTCAAGCCCTAATCCCCTCAATTTCATCCCTAATTTCTACTAGTTTCATGCTTAAACAACTCAAAATTACCATAATCACAAGTATTAAGCTCAAGTAACTTACCTCAATGTAAACCCCCTTGATTCACTCTTCAAAACCCTCGAAAAAGCTCCAAGTCCGAACAAGAATGGTAGAAAATAACCCAAATTTTGCGAAGTCTCCAATTTATAGGTTCCGCGGTCCCATTCCCGCATCTGCGGGACCGCTCCTGCGAAAACCTTTCCGCTTCTGCAGAATTTCATTAAAAGCCCACTTCCGCTTCTGCGATATCCTGACCGCATCTGCGGTCATCGCAGATACGGGGACCAAGCCGCACCTGCGATCACGTCTGTGCACCTGCGCCTCATACCCGCTTCTGCGGACCTCACACCTGCGGTTCCCACTCCGCAGGTGCGGTTAAGACATAATCAGTAGCTTCAGCTGCATTACCAAATTCCCAAACTCTCCCATAACCATCCGAAATCATCCCGAGGCCCTCGGGACCTCAACTAAAAATACCAACAAGTCACATATCAACATTAAAACTTAGTCGAACCTTCATAATACTCAAAAAAACATCAAAACACCGAATCACCCTCCAATTCAAGCCTAAGAACTCCTAAACTTCTGAATTCCACAAACGATGCCGAAACCTAGCAAACATCGTCCGAATGACCTGAAATTTTGCACACACATCACAAATGACACAACAAACCTATTCCAACTTCCGGAATTTCATTCCAACCCCAATATCATAATTTTCACTGCCGACCGGGAAATGCCAAATTTCAAATTTTGCCAATTCAAGCCTAATTCTACCACAGGACTCCAAATCACATTCCGGACGCGCTCCCAAGTCCAAAATCACCTAACGGAGCTAACCAAATCATAAAAATCCAAATCCGAGAACGAATACTAAAAAGTCAAAACTTGGTCAAACCTTTCAAATTTAAAGCTTCAAGTTGAGGATCATTCTTCCATATCTGTTTCGATTAACCTGAAAACCAAAACCGACGATTTAAATAAGTCATAATATATATCACACGGGGCTAGTCATGCCCGAGAACTGGCGGGCAAAGTGCAAATGCACAAAATGACCCGTCGGGTCGTTACATCCTCCCCCACTTAAACATACGTTCGTCCTCGAACGTGCCTAGAGTTTTTCCGAAAACCATCAAATCGCTGTATAACCTTATCATGCACATACCAGGGGGTAATCCCACGTCACCCTATCCCATATAGGTCCGATAGCACAACAAACTGAAATTTCGCAATTCACCCTAGCCCATAACCTTAGAACCAAATTTCCACATCCGAAATTATCTATAAGATTAGAATCTCACATCTATACACTGAATAAGTCTGAACAAATTGTATCAAGCCATAACCGCAATTCAAGATGAAATCACATGATATACCACACAACTCAAACACTCATAGCGATAACTTCTAATCACAGCAGTTGCTCGAACAACCCATCACCGTTAATAAACCTCTTATCAAACCAAGCCTCATTCCAACACTTTCGCATACTACCAATGATGAAAGAAACACGTAGAAATCATAATCATTCCTCCAATCAACCAGTCATGGAGTTCCCTCTCCGTCGGCAAAGAGTGTAGTAAATTTCAAAGCCGAATTTCGATATTATCCTTCCAACATGCTGGAATCGAATCCGATAGTATTCATTCTAGGTTTAATGACCCCATCTCATCTAACACGACTACTCTGGTGACATGACACATCAATACGATCTAAAGCCACAATCCGTGCACCAAAAAGCAACATTCCAAATGTACTCAACTCATGGAAAATGACTCAAATGAGAGAGATGTACCGCAAGCTCACCAGTACCACCTCAACACAATGCTAAGAACCCATCACACACCGTAGAACCAGAACACACGAATCTAACCCGAAGGATCATACCTCCACATAACTTCGCTGCAATGCGCGACCCTATCCAAACACTGGTCCACATGAGACACCTCAAGTCACCATGCTCAACATCAACAACCACGTGCAATTTGATGTCTAGTACCAAAAGGAAATCGCCATCACCACGGAGAAGCAAATGACGCAATGCCATACTAGCCCGAAAGAACATATCCAATGTGCAATCAATCATGCAACCCCCAAATAACTGTCTCACTCAAACTCCGCTATAAAAACCCAAATAGAACCATATCATTTGTGCATATAACCAATAAATAATAACTTCTCGTAATACAGAAGAGTAACTCACAAACAAATCTCGGGGCACGAATAAGCTTATCAACAACTAAATGGCACCTTCCTCAACAATAGCAGTCTAGAGTCAACATATCTGACTCGATGTAGAACACATCCATATTGGCCTACCAATGAACCCCAAATCAACTCTGGTCACCCACAATAGATAAATAACTCTCCGAAAGCTCACAATGACTAAATCATGGCA